GGTCGTTTATAAAAAAAAATTTTGAATATTTTTTTTCATGGTTTTGGCGGTTTTTTGCTGGGCGATTTTCAGTACAGTCCCGACATGAATATTAACTAGAGATGCGTAGTTCCTACGGACGAATTTAGGCAATTTGGTTCAATAATTATTGTGACAACAGACGCCATTTTGGCACGCTGTACGAGCAGCCCTCAACCACCCGGAGAAAATAGGGTAGCACGGTCAATCATGTTGAAAAAAAATAATAGGGTGGGCAGAAAAAAATAGGGTCGGTCGGGAAACTGGAACCACAGGTATTTTATTTTTAGGCCTTCGTATTATAGCATTGAATTGACAATTAAGCCCAGGTCACACCACACAACGATAACGATAACATGTAAACACGCGATAATACAACGAAAACGGTAAAACTAGCGTTTGACGATAACGATTTTAAAATCGCTCACCCGAGCGATTTTTTTTTCAGTCGGACGATGACGATACATTTTTCAATTAAGCTAACCTAAACTAAAGATAACCTTTTGGCTTTTTTCATCCCAAAATATGTCGGATGCGTGGAATTTACATGTACAGCTAAAGTTCTTCACGGTTTTGAATACTTTGGCAGGTTTGCTAGTTACTACTAGAAGGAAAATGTAAGTACGCGAATAGCAAATTTCCGCGTACCTACGTGGTACTTGCCTAAAAACAAAGAAGTACCAGACCACAAATTTTGCGTACCTCCGGTACGTTGGTACGCGAATTATCGCACCCTGCAGAATGTTCCAGATTAGAATTTACATTTCAAGAAAGTACGTCATTTTAGCGATATTGCCGAGGTTTCCACTCGTAAACTACAGCCCTCGAATAATATTCGGTGGCGAAACTTACCATGATATGTAATTTTTTAATGATTTGCATTATTCAAGCCTTTAGAAATGTATCGTCTTCATAACCTATTTAGATGAGTTAGATGCAGGTTTATTAGCATAACATGACCAGTTGCTATGGCTAGCTTTTCCACTGATAATATATCAATTCATGCCCGTTTTATCAACTATATGACGACAAATTTTATCCATAAATGGCTGCCGAATTGACGACCTTCCTATTACTAGATATAAGTTGTTCCTTATGACCTCGTTTTCATGTATGAAATCCAAGCGAATTTTCAGTCTAAATAAGGTCACAATAGCCAATTTATGTGCATTGAAGAGAATATTACTTTACTCTTTAGAGGGGGCAGTTTTAATTGTTTCGGTCATTGCACATTGTCTCTCGTCGCTGAGATATCGCTGCTTTGATATGGCCAGCTATAAAAATTGCGTAGAATTTGTAGTTGTATCACAGAGAATCCGTGATATGACTACAACTGCCTCCTCCGCAAGCCCTTCGTTGATCTCAGTGCAGTGCATTTGCAATCTATATAGATCAGTGGCTGTGATATCATTGCTGGGCAATAATTTTTTCTTGTTTTCCTCTCCCCCCTTTGAAAGCGACTGGGGACGAGGCAGTGACTACAATACAATACAAAAAATCATATCAAATATGCATATTGTTTTGTATCCACATCTTCATACTTTTATAACAAAGAAATCAGTGGGAGTGAATTTTTTCTTTTATCGTCTGTTTTCTCACGCAGTCGGGTGTCAGCTTTGATATATAGTCTTATATAGATGTATGGATGTTATGTAGTGATATTTGTATTGACATAATAGGCCATAGTCGAGCTCCTGTGGTCATATCAGGCAATGCTACCTCTTGTTTTGCCATGCCTGTAATTGCTGTAAACACTAAACGGTATTTAAACCAAAGATTGAGAATTTCGTCATTATATTGAAACACGAGCATGCTGTAGGGATGAAACTGTTTGAAAAACGTTGAGTTGTACACCTGGGCACTAACAGGTTGGATTTTTTGAGGGGGGGGGGGCAAGGCATTCAGTTTGCGACTGGGTAACATCGTATTTGAAAAAAAAAAACCGATTGCAAAGTACTGTTCCACGTTCGTAAAGAGTCGGGAATTTTGCATTCGACAAACATTCGGCATAGGCAACACCTGGAAAGATAATTTGAGTACTCTCTTTTGGATTTTCTCCACCTGATCGTTGAAGTACTGAGGAAGGCTGTAATGTTACACCTGACAAGCATATTCAACAATAGATCGGACATGCGTACAGTAACTGAGATCAAGACATCAGCATGTAAAGCATTTCTCTTAAGGAGGCGGAAACCATACAAACGTTTCGCAACTTTCTTACAAATGTAATCAATCTGGCGATTCCATTTGAGATCGTCTGAAATCACAACGCCTGTAAGTAAGACAAAATAAGGATGATTAGCCCACTTACTTACTTCCACTTATATTGCAGCTATATGAAGGTCAAATGCAAGTCAAGCCTTGTCACTTAAACAGCACCAATCTATCACACCTGGGTGCCGTCCTTGACGTCGCAGAAAAACTAGACGCGACATCTTTGTTGAAACCTTTCAATTGGTATGTTGGTGAAGACAAGAGTTTAGGTCGACCTCCATTTACTGTTGTTGTTGATGTTGTTACTTCACATGGATGGTTCAAAGTGATTGCTCGCAACCCAACTGCACTTCATGCTGCATGGAAAGGTACATCAGAAGTAGAGTGTATTTAGTGAAAATTAAATTAAGGATTATTGTCCCTGTGTAACCACGGAGAAGGCTTGGTCGCATGGCATGAGAAAGGCTAGTTGATACAAACTTGACCGAATTAAAATCTGTTTTTAGACACAGCTAAATAATCTGTTGCTAGAAAAAGTATGATAATCAATATATATAATCTTGATATCACAATACTCACCTTGGAAATTTGGCTCTCATTCTTCTTACACATGTTACTGATTTTCAGGTGAAGGCAATTTTGGAGAAAAATCCATTGATAAGCAAGCACAGGTATACAGAATCAGTAAACTGATGATGTTTTGTTACCATTATATTTTTGGGTAATATGTGTAAAGTTCTGATAAATCAATAATTTCCAGGAATACGTGAGTGCGAGTCAACAAAATGAAGCGAATTTTTTGACACCCAAAGTGACTTTTGTTTTTACACAAGGCATCACTGAGGATTTGGCAGGTATTATTTAGTATGCTGTGATAGTATTATGTAATTGCTGCTGTTGCTATGTTGCCTTTGTTTTTTTATTGGTGTTGTTGTTGTTGTTGTTGTTGTTGTTGCTGCTGGTATTGTTTAGTTGTTGTTTTTGTTGCCGGTGTTGTTTAATTGTTGTTGTTTTCATTGTTGCTGCTATTTCTTATTGTTTGTATGTTGTTGTTGGTGGTGGTGCTGTTGTTACTGCTGTTGTTGTCGTTGCTGTTATTTTTGTTGCCTTGTTGTTGCCGCCTCCTTTTTAAAAAGCTGTGCAATAGGTAAGCTATTCCATCTTTATATTCGTAATTTCAGAATCACACACTATATATTTCAGAATGCTTACTAAGCTGTGGTGTGTCTCTGCAATGTGAAATATTACCAAATCCAGGTTGTGATAACTTGAAAAACGACGACATTAGCGTGAACAATCAGCTGGGAGAAACTGTCGTTCCCGAATGGTAGATGTGTATAATACTGACATTTGGTTTTAATTATGGTTTCACGCATGCATCATGCGTGTCCCTAAAATTATACATTGCATGTGTTTCTAAATAGACGTTGTGATTCGTTAGTAGTGAAATTGCCAAATTGGAACGGCAGAGAACAAAATGACTTACATTTTTGTATTCGAGCCAAAGCATACATTACTAAGCAATAGTCAGTGCATTGAACATAAACCACCCAAAAACGATTCTGAACGTTTTAACTGTTGGTGTATGTAGTTATGAACCGTGAAAATGATGTAAATAACGTAGCAGTTTGAACAAGGACGCCGTACTAGAATGCTTAAGAGAATGCAAATAATAGTCGCCTTTGTCTTATGTTGGCGTTGTATTTGCCAAACTCACTAAGAATATATTGATCCTGTTTTATTTTATTTTATAGTAACAAAATTAATCTGGACGTGACAGCGATGATCGCACTAGTATCAGCGCTGACCAATGGCTCTTGCAATTTTCAGTTTCAGGTAAACTCCCATTAAACCGCTGAGGGCCAGCACTTTCCACTGGACGAGTTAAACAATCTGGCTTTTGACAGAGTAAAATAACAAAGTAGCTATAGTGCTCGTTAGAGAGCAATACCACTTTAAGGATTGACAAGACACATGATCATGGGCAGATAGGCTAATTAACCCATTGAGCGCCAGCATTTCCCCCCTGACAAGTAAAATCGTCTGGCTAACTTAGACAGATTAAAGTAACAAAGTAGGGCGCATTAGAAGGCTATGCCAAGTTAAGTGTAACGATTTGAAAACTGATCGATTTAGTGATTATTTTTATGTATGTAAATTATGGTATTTTTATGATGTTCTTTCTAACTCGGAGCTTTATTCATTAGGACCAAATTCTCAGTGAGCAAGCAGAGAGGGAAAGAGAGAATCCTGTACTTCCACATCTGAACAAAGTTCTCGAAGGTAACTAGACTAAAACAACAGCTGTTGAAATTATAGCATTGTGTATCATAAGAGTAACCTATCCACTATTCTCATTTTCCAGGAAAAGAACTATTCGCTTGTTCTCTTGCAATTTCAAGTTTTCAGTCCATTTTGGATATGTTAGGCGGACCAAATGAAAAAGAACGAGCAAGGTTTGGCATTTTGAGTGTACTTTGTGAGTCCTAACCGAGGCCCAAAAAGCTGTCAGCTCGTCCTGTCGTCCATGAGAGCTGAGCTGAATTACGAAGGACGCAGCTCAACTTTTTAGGAGGAGGAGTTACTATTTTTAGATTTTTAGGGTTAGGATTAGGGTTTGGATTGGGGAAAGGATTAGGGTTAAGATTAGAGTTGGGGTTAAGTTTAAAATACAAAACATTACAAAGTCATAAAAGTCCCTCAAAAATAGTAACTCCCTCTAAATCGTGACAGGTATAATGGAAGGGTCAGTATAGGGGCTAAGATACATGCATGGCCAAGAATGGATCCTCCACCATGTCATCTTCAGCGTATGAAAATATATCTGCAAGGTGGACAATTTGTAACGACAACCCAGTTAGGTAACGTTCACTAACTACGCACTCTGGCTAACGTTGGTACCGAAGAAAAAAACAGCTTCAAACTATGCTGCAAATCCTACCAGCTTCACTCTGCGTAATTGTTCCTAGTTTAACACACAATGGATACCCACCCTTTCAACATTCCCTGTAGGATGAGAGCGGAGAATACCCACGATTTTCGGCAGAGCGATCACTTGACTCTTTTCATATGAACGCGCTCGTTCTGACAATTGCGCCATGCACCGAAGTGTTTTAAAAATATGACTCGATGAATGATATATTTTAGACATCTTCTCAGCAAGGTGACAGAAGTAAGTGATGATCCTTCCAAAAGAACACAAGAATTGTCATCTAGTGCCAGAATCAAAACGAGACCGAAGGTATATTGAAAGTTAAAATACTTTATTTATTTATGAACCTTGTAATATACTCACTAAGACACTATTATGTATATTTTTTTCTTCACATTTGTACATTTGCTTTTCACTAAATTACATTTAACGCTTTTAATTTTTATGTAAGTACATTTAATTTTATACTTTCACTTCAGATTGTATTTGGAACAGGAGATAAGTTACAAGCAGTCACGATAACTTCAAATGGATCATTTGTAAGAGCAGCAAGGGAACAGGTACCCAATATAATTTTATTTTTCTTTGAAAATTAGTAACCGCTATAATCTATATAATATTTTTAGTATGAAAGACATTAAGGCATAAGCTAGCCTTTCATGGCCATGGATCTTTGTAGCTCTGTCGTCAAGTGAGATCAGTAGATCACAGCTGAACAAATGCATGGTCAGCTAAAATCTTGTGTTTTCTTTTTAAGGGCGTGGAATTCGCAGTATTCCTTCATGAACCGAGAGCTTTAACAGAAAACAAGGAGCAGTTTGCTACTCTAGTTTAGAAAAGATATTTTACATGAAACGTAATGCATGAAAATTATTTTGGGTATTAAAATTTATTTTGGGTATTGAAAGAATTTGTCTGATTGAACGTTTGAAGGTTTTAATACCTGGCCATGCCCTGAGCTACAAAGTCCAGTTGCCGCTAAAAACTAGTCACAAAATCCATTTCCAGCGACAGGACAAAACTCACTCCAAATAGAAGCATTTCGTGAAATCATCCGCATATTTAATTTTGTTAGATACCAAATAACCAGAATTATATATTTGGCTGTGCCGCTGCATGGAGATTTAGCAAGAATACTGATTTTCCGATTAATTCTAAAATTTCACTCAAAACATGATAACAGAGCTCTTTCTCTCTCAAAATGCCCAAGGATAACTGACTTCGTCTAACGCCAAAGGATTTTATTCTAAACTCTACACACTTAAAAATTTCACAACTTGGCAACAAGATGTATTCGCAACAGGCTTGTAGCAAGCTTGTCAAAAAGTTGTCACAACATTATCTTGTTGACAAATTGTTGAATTACAGGACGATAACAAGGTCTTGGAACAACTTGTAACAAGTCTGTTGAGCTCAACAACCTTGCATCAAGTTGTCAACGGCTTGTCAACAAGCTGGGGAACAAGCAGTGCGAACACATCCTGTTGACAAGTTGTTGGAACAGCATTGCCACAAGTCGACTGCTGCATGCATGTTTGCCACAAGTTGTGCGTTTTTACGTATGTACATCAAGGTCATACTAGCGAGGTTTAGATTTGACTTGCGCTACCATTAAGCGACCATTAACCAATCAGATGTGTTTAATCTACCAGATTAACCAATCACATGCGTCAGTAAAAGGTAACGGTAGTGAAATCTAAAATACAAAACAACGAAATCTAAACCTCAATACAATTAACTTGTCAGGTGTACTGTATAGTCCGCAGACAGAGAAAGGGTATATAAGGAATTATATTATTCAACATATCACACAGAAATGTAGTATAACGCAAATAGTAAATAGTTTATATTCTTATATTATCTTATTACTGTATTATAAAGAACACTCTGATATTGACCTTTTTCAAGAAGATGGCAACGGGTGGTGTCAAGGTAGATGATGTGTATATTGTACAACATAGCCTAGAAGCCATTCGGGAAAATAACAGCCTGAACAACTTAACAGCACATGGTCTCTACGCCATCGTTCGGAAAAAGTATATAATCTAATGTCTAACTCTCAGTAGCAGTACCAGTATTCGTGGCAGTCTCACTTGACGCTTTCACAAACATAATTCTTTTCTTTGGTGGTTGAATACCAGTTTGTGTTCTCGAGAGTTGATCCAACATGGCCTGTGCCGCATTACGCTTCGCAACTTTCTTTGAACGACCAAGTCCCGAAGCCTCCATATTGTTGACTTTTACCTTCATATCAAACCTCTGTAGAGCTGATGGTCCATTCTCACATACAGTAATATACTGTGGTTCCCCCAGCTTGTGCTTCTTTACAACATGATCTAGCGTAGAAATAGGGTTATCCCCTCCGGATGGCCCCACTGAAATGGTCTTCTGACCAGCAGCTTGGGGTAACTGAGGTCCATAGTCTTCCGATGTGTTTCCAGCCTGACTGGTTTGGCCAGCACTTCCAGTAAAACCAGGCAGTCCCATAATGTCAGCTACTTCATTACCAGAGACTTGGGCTGCAAGTAATTGGGCTGCGTCCTGTTTTGCAAGTTTTTTCGATCGACCACTGCCGCTGACTTCGTAAGGTCCCATGGTAACTTTCATTGAGAAAACCTTTGCATGAGCTGGGCCTGTTTCGGATTCTTCAAACCAATTCACTGTCCATCCATTTTGATAAGCAAGGTCCTGGACCGTACTGACAGCCGATTTCCCACCTTGAAGTGGTTTCATGGAAGTTATTGGTTGTGGCGGTTTGGCTGCAGTCTTTTTAGCTTGTTTGAAACTTGTCTGAAGCCTGGGGGGCATATGTGGTCGTTTTGGGGGTTTCTGGGGGCCAATAGGAGGCCCATATGTTGTTGGATAGGAGTTTGTATTTTTGGGATATGGTTCATCCTGTGGCGTGTAAGTGGGTTCATTGGGTGTGTATGATGGGCCTTGCTGTCCATAGGAGGAGTTTTGCTGGGGATAGGTAATCCCTTGTTGGGGATAGGTTGCACCCTGTGAGTAGGTTTGCCCTTGAGGGTAGGTTTGCCCTTGAGGGTAGGTTTGCCCTTGAGAGTGGGTTGGCCGTTGAGGGTGGGTTGGCCGTTGAGGGTGGGTTGGCCGTTGAGGGTGGGTTGGCCTTTCATGATGGGAAGATGCTTGCTGATAGGTAGATGTATTCTCTGCATAGTTGGGTGGCGGGGCCTGATTATATGAAGATGGTGGTGCCTGTGTATATGAAGGTGGGGCTGCCTGACTATATGAAGGTGTGGATGCCTGATTATGCGAGGGCGGGGGTGCTTGATTATTTGGAGTGGAACCATTTGAATTATTAGGTGGAGCAACATTTGAGTACTGTCCTCCTTGTGCAGTGATGGGCCCTTGCCCATATGAACCAATTTGTGGGTATGAGATTCCACTTAGGGTATTAGATTCTCCATAAGGGTTGTTCCCTTGTCCATAAGGTGCATTATAGGGGTATTGGTAAGGTGCAGTATATGGATTATATGCTGGTACACCATATTGACTCTGTGACTGGTTCACAGGTGTATAGGTTGTTGAAAATTGGTTGTTAGTTTGCCCATACTGAGTGTAGGGGGCATAACCCCCTCCAGTGTACGACATTGTTGCACCACGGTTAATGTTCTTGTGGTAGATAGATTATGAAACAGATCTAAAAATAATAGAAGAATGCTCATATTTTTTAACTTGTATTATATACCTGCGATCAGGTTAAATTGATTTCTGCAATAGATTGAAGTATTTGACACTTCTGAGCAGAGCAAGAAAATAATACCATATGTATGCAGACACTATATTTGTCAACATAGCTGCCAGGATGGAATCCATGTTGTCATGCGGGAGTTAAGCCCAAGCTTGACAACACAGAATCTTTACTGATCATTTCACACCTCTTTACAGTTGCTTTGCTTCACCACAGTTTACATTTTATGCCAGTGGCGTAAATCTTACTAATGGAATAAAAATCTTGGAAAATTTTTATGGTTTTTTTTATGTAATTTTGATGTTTTTGTGTAATATTGTGAACATTTTTTTTTAATATTGAAAGATTGATATTTGAAATAAGTGTATCAAACTACAGCCAATTTTTAAAACCTTGTGTGAAACCTCCAACATGCATAAATGTTAATGCTTTATAAGTTTGTAGCTTTTGAGTCTCCTTTTATGTAGCATTTTGTTGCCTATCACAGTTGAAGCCAAGAAAATGTTGTGTTAATTAAAGTTAATTTAACCCTTTAAGTGGCAATGCGCCCTACTTTATTATTTTACTCTGTCTAATGCCAGGCGATTTTACTCATCAAGGAGAGAGTGCTGCCACTCAATGGGTTAATCAGTCTATCTGCCCATGGACCCCATTAGCCCAGATGTGCCGTATTTTATTATTTTATTCTGTCTAACATCATATTATTCTACTCTGTCTAACGCCAGACAATTTTACTTGTCAAGGGGGAGACTACTGTCACTCAATGGTTAAGTGCCAATATGCCCTACTTTTCTATTTAACTGTCTATTAACTGTCAGGGGGGGGGGGGTAGTGGAACACTACAAGTGTCTATATATAAATTATATTAAAAGAAGTATCAAATATGTTGCCAAAGCAATGTTTTCATTGCAAACAAATCAAGAAAAGTACAAAATTATTAAAACATCCGTGTTGCGTGACCAAAATGTACTAGTTTTGCAAGTCTATAGACTAGCATAGATCCACAATTGCACGTACAAGTTACCACCTGACAGCCTGCTCACAGCCCGACATACAAGTTCATTCAAACATTCTACTTGTTTTATACAAATATATAATCAATCCCTTTCAGGCTTTAGCATACTATACATAAGCAACCCTTTCAGTACCGTCGCGAAAACCCGACGAAAATTGCCATTATGTTCTTTAAAACGATGAAAAACAATTGCAAAACATACCTTGAAATTAAACGTCAGATTTGGGCGCCATATTGAAAACCGCGCACACATGTTTTGACATCAATAGACTGGGTATGAGGCAGGGAAATTTTTAATATTGCAAATTTTTTTATTAATTATATTTTTTTTTGGGGGGGGGGCGGCGGTTGCTGGCTGCGAAGGATTGAAATGACATACATGCCATTTAACAGTTGACCAAATTTAACATTTAACTAAATCCATTCTTCTTGGAACCATATGCACAAACGCTTTAACGAGATTTTACACGTCAAGTTCTTCCAGTAAGTTGTCGTTGTCCTAGGTCGAGACTTAGTCAGTGTTAGCTCTGAGAGTGTAACGTGTGC